ACATTCATTAACAATTTCTTTCTATAACACAAATCCAAACTATTAAGGCAAACTAGCAATTATTCTTCCACACTAACATCAACATAAAGCAGATTAGAAGAATTAAATGCACAAGAGTGCAGTTCTTTTATGATTATGTACTCTTAATCTTCAGAAGATGGTTAATTACATTTTAAGCAGCATAAGAGCCCTAACATATTTGTGTGTTAATAAAAATTCTCACCAGGGGTTTAAATCTAACATGTAGTCACAGGTATAACTAATGGCATTTTTCAGTAATGCTGTGAAAAAAATGTGCCTGTAAGTTAGTAGTTCACACAGAAAACTGCTGGGAGTTTTTAATTTACTCTCTAACTATTCTCCTAATCATTCTCTTATCATGCTGGGATGGCTAAATGCATACAGATTATAATGATGGTGTGCACCCTCCATAGCAGTGTCAGCAGTGACATTTGTCGGTGTTTGAAGTCGGGCTGCTGCAATGAGAGCTCTGCAGCCAAGGGAAGAAGGGAAATGAAGGGGGATGATACTGCAGCCCTGCTGTTTCACTAGGACTTGTGTTTGCTGGTTTAGGGTTTATTCCAGTTCAGAAACTGATTAGCCTCTAGCCAGCACAGGTCCAGACATCTGACTGTGATTCAGAGCTTTTAGGAATACTTGTTAACTGTGTCACGCTCAAGAAATGCTGAAGGTCCAAAGAGACTTCTTCCCTTGAAATCCTAATAACTGAAGACAGAGACTGTCATTTATCCTGCTTCAAGCCTCCAGGAAGCTGGAATAAAATCATAGAATCATAAAATGGCTTAGGTTGGAAGGGATCTTAAAGCCCCCCCTCTGATCAGGCTGCCCAGGGCCCCATCTAGCCTGGCCTTGACACCTTCAGGGGTGGAGCATCCCTAAACACCAAGAGTTGAAGTGCAATGCACATTCTTTATCCTGATCTTGGAAATTTCAAGTTCAGACAGTCCAGGATTTTAGCTAGGGTTAAAAGTAGTCTGATGCAAGGTTGAAATCCATTTTGCATCCCACTCCAGGCAGCTCCAGCAAAGCAGATGAAATGAGCTTTGAGTGGTCCCACTGCTGGGAAAGAGAGTACCAAAATGGGAGGCACATGATTTCCTCGTAGCTTCACCCACTGGATACACTTCATCCACTGATACCAGAGCAGAGCAAGCTCAAGAGGATGAGCATAATGGAGAAGGGGATAAAGAGGAGCTGGTGATGTCTCCTGTAAGCACAGAAGTCAGTGGACACTGGCATTGCCTCAATTATGTTTATTCTTACAGGTTGATCTCCATCATGCCAATTTCACCTGTGGGAGCAATCTGAGTTTCAGGAAAAAGAAGTTCTACAGCTTAATTTTATTCTTCTGTATTATTTGGTCATTTCTTCCCATAGTGATTTTCCTCATGTCTGCCTCCTAATACAAGCATTGTCATTCCGAAATATCCCCAGGGCATGTAAGATAATTTGGGAAAGGAGGAAAGAACTGAACTTTTGAAATATGTTTCCTAATTATTAGCATTCCTCATTCTAAGCCTTATTTGTGGCAAGGATGACTCATTGCCCTTGAACACCCACTGCCTATCTATTTCCTCTAATGTTGCTTTCCTTTTTGATTTCTCAGATATGGATAGCTGACTGCTTATCTATTCCTACCATTAAAATGATGCATAACTGCTGCATTTTGTGGATGGAAACATTATGGACATTGAAATGTCTTCACAGCCCCATTTGCTCATCTGCTGTTATTTACTTTCCAGCAGACAATATTCAGTACACAGGCACACACAATGTTGAAGTCAGCACAACATTCATCACATTGATATCAGGGCACACACTGCATGCTGCCACTGCTGCAGTAACAGCCTGGACTGGAGGATATGCAGAGCTTCCTATCTCCTTTCAGGTTCTGGTACAGATTTCTGAGCTGCAGCAGCTCAAGAAAGGAGCTGGGGCATGGCTACCTGTCAATGGGATGCATTCCTGTGAAATAGGAAGATGTAGAGACCCACAGTCAGAGCATCTGTGGAAGAGCATCCTGATAGTCCTGCTACTCAGGCAAGTCTTGTGAAGCAAATGCCCAGCTACCCAAAAGCATGTCCCAGGGAAATCAGTGTAGCTACTGGAGATGGCTTAGATCCCTTCAGTCCAGGGCTTGAAAACAGAAGCCGCAGTGCCTGTGTATTATCATGTGCTATGTCCTTTATAAACATCCTGTAAACATTTTCACTACCCAGGAGAGTTTCCACTTCAGTGGTAGAAGTCAGTAGGTAGACATGGCCCCTGGAGAGCTGGCAGCAACTTAATGACCCTTTCCTATGTGTACTATGATAGATTATGATGATGTTCAACCAGTTAATAGTACTCCTTTGGCAGGGATCCAGCACTAATGAGGATGAGGATGTTGCCCTTGGGCTCTCTGAGGACCTTTCCTCTTCTGGGTAGGTCACCAAAAGCACGGATTGGGCATCTCCAGGTTCAGCCTGGAGAAGAGGAGGCTCAGGGGAGACCTCATTGCTCTCTATAACTTCCTGAAGGGAGGTTGTAGTGAGCTGGGGGTCAGCCTCTTCTCTCGTGTCATTAGTGATAGGACCAGGGGGAATGGCTTCAAGCTACAGCAAGGGAGATTCAGGCTGGACATGAGGAAGTATTACTTCTCAGAAAGGATGGTCAGGCACTGGAATGGACTGCCCAGGGAGGTGGTGGAGTCACCGACCCTGGGGGTGTTCAAGGAAAGGCTGGATGTTGTGTTGAGGGACATGGTTTAGTGGGAGCTATTGGGAATAGGTGAACGGTTGGACTGGGTGATCTTTTAGGTCTTTTCCAACCTTGGTGATTCTATGATTCTATGATTTCTATGATCTGTTGAAGGTAGGTGGCTGGTCACAAGCTAGCAAGGGATGTAGTTCATTGATCTCTGGTGGCTGGGAGATTATCACTGCATACCTGTCTCCCTGTCGTTAATTCATTGACAACTACCCTCAGCCACTTTTTGAGAAAATTCCTGTGCTAGCTGAGATTTGATAGCTGTTCTGATATGCTTAATGCCTCATACTCCTAAGAGAGACCAGAGAGAAACCACAGTTACTAGAGGGGATGAAAAGTGGTTTCTGTGTGTGTGATGAAGCTCTTCTGTTCCACATTTTGTTCTTATTGATTCAGCTTTCTTTCAGTCAGCATTCATGGCATGTCAAAACTTCTGGCTTCACATTCACATTAAGATGCTCTTCAGCCTAGAGCAGAAAACTGCCACACAGCGCTGAAAAAGAGCAAAACACCCACGACAACAACATATGCAAAAAGGTGTGTGGATGATAGCAAACAAACAGAGCCATTTGGAGAGCACTGGGGGTGGCAGGCAGCTGGCTGCGAGGCAAAAGGATTTGGGACAAAATCCTTAGTCTGTACAGGACTGGGGCTCAGCCCAGCTGCTCCCCTAGAGCCAGATCTGCTTCAAGTAGCTGTTTGCCTTTTTTTCCACATGGTTCTGAATTTTTTATCTTTTTCTTTTGATGCCCTTTCAAACAAGAAGCTTTGCCTTATGGAATTTCATAATTACTCCAGCTTGTAGTTGTCTCCTACCTCTCACATAAAGCCAGTCACTCCTGACATCTGGAGGCACCTGGCTGGAGAGGTCTGAACCAGATTCAGACAATATTCACGTTGGTTGGACTCGTCTTCAAATACCAGTTCACACTATTGTTTTGACACCACCAGAAAGATGCGTGTAGCTTTCACAAGCTGTCTCTTAATGTTAGAGTGAGGAAGAACTTTATCACATCAACCTCCTATCCCTGTGTGCCCCTTCCAACCTGGCCATGAAGGGGAGAGGATGTGGACCTAGTAAGTAAGCGGTCAAAATTCCTCAGCATCTAGTATTTGACATCAAATAATGCAGCCAGATTCACTTGTTGCAGTGGAAGAGAAGCCACAAAAGGTCGCTGATCATAGAAATTTCTGATACTGTCAGTCACTGTCCCAGCCCTACGTCAAAGTTGTGCTGCCACATGATGAGAGTCAAGAGGAGGTGGAAATACTCAGATATGGGAAGATGAGCATACAGATGGGAATCTTGATTCAGCTTTTCCTCAGCACAGTGTGGGTGCTGTAAAACACTGTGAGACTAAGAGGCTGGAAAGAGCACTGGTGACACTCCCTGATTTAGACTGCTCTTCATCTCTTGCTTCAGGGACTGAGCCTGTATATCCTGATTGCAAATTATTTGGCTTTGGGACCATTGCCCATTGTGGTCTTTAAGGATATAGATATGTACAGAAGACTGAGGAAAAAAAACGGTGGAAAAAATAAGGTTTTTGCAAAATATTTCTATTTGAATATCAATTTTACTAATCTTAAGGTTGGGTTCTGTGTTGCTGGCGTTCAGGAGAGCGTGTCACCATGACCTGCAGCAATTTCTTACCACTTTCAAGCAGACATGATGAAGGAGTTTCATTCATACAAAAACTTCATCTGTGTTGGCTGTGGTCTGGAAACCTCTGCTCCAACAGGGAATAGATTTTATTCTGACATATAGAGGGCGGGAAGTTGCATTATTTCCCATTTGCATCCTTCCACCTCATTCCAGCTGAATGTAAACAATTCTTTCCACCCTCACCTCCATTTTACAGGCCTTTGGATGAGCTGAAGCCAAAAGCCACTTCTTGGAAATACGGGAAATCACAGAGCATCATAGAATCATGAATCATAGAATGGTGTAGGTTGGAAGGGACCTTAAAGATCATTGAGTTTCAACCCCCCACCACGGGCTGGCAGCCCACCACCAGCTCAGGCTGCCCAGGGCTCCATCCAGCCTGGACCTGAGCACCTCCAGGAATGAGGGACTCAAAGTTCCCTGGATAGCAGTGCCAGGGCCTCACCGCTCTCTAAGTAAGGAAACATTCTTGGCCACAGATTTGCTGTACTTATAAATGAGTCACTTTATCTTACATCAGCACCACAAGCAATGAAGGCCTCACTAGTATTGTATTAATCTGTAATCAAAACTTCACATAAGGATTACAGGAATAAGCTACTGCAGCAAGAGGATATTCTTCATCTGGATGACCCCTTTGTTCCACAACTGTGCATTACTGGCATTTTCACATCTGTTCATCACTTGAAGCAACTTTCTTTTGTCCCTTATTAAGCTCAAGCATCTATTTCTCCCCATCATGCTCCTCCACACCACACTTTTTTTTTTTTTTTTTAATCTAAACACATTTTCTAAAGTTTATGACATGCAGTGTAATTAAAATCAAGTTGGCAGAAAAGAACTGTTTATCCACTACAGCTCTTTTCATTTTATAATCCTCCAGCTGGAGTGCAGGTGGGAAATTTGAAGTGCTCCCACACTCAGTGGCAACAGCAAGGCCAAGGTCATGGACATGACAATGATACTGAATGTTCACTGTGATCCTTCTTGTGGCAGCCTAACTTTCAGAAGCTTTATGCGATGCTTTCTGACAAGGAGATCTCATAGGATATTTTCTATGAGCATCCCAAAACCAGAAATTACTTTTGCAAGTTGTGACTTCTGCACTCACACTGGGGATTGCACAGGAAAGGTATAAACTGCTCAGCACTTCCAGTGCCCCCAAGGCTTTTTCTCACTTTTAACTTCCTTCTGTTATATGTGAACTATATCTCCATTCTCCTTGCAGACTCCTTCCCAATATCTTGTTAAAGTAAATGAACTTTAAAATTGGAGGTGGTTCTCCAGAGGAGTAATTCAGCAATAATTCAGCCTACAAAAGTTCCCAAGTCTGTAATTTATTGATTTAGCTAACAGTTTGTACTGTCTGGTTAACAGTTTCCTATCTTATTACCCTGTGTTTTCATTATACCCAACCTGTCTGGTGGAAGGAATATCAATCCTTGGCAGCTTACAATTGCTAACAGTAGCTGTTAAACATCTCCAAACTTGCCTTTACTTCTTTTTGGAGCCTCTTAAAGCTTCCTGATTTGGAGGGTTGGCAGAGAGTTAAAAAAGATTTACTTTTCTTCCCAAGAAAAACAACAAAAAATATTTTAATCCTCACTTTTGTCTCCAAAAGAGAGACAGACAGCTCTGCACTACTGATGCTTGCGCAAAATCCTCAGCTGCACTTCCCATCCAGCCTGCAGAAAGCGTTCACGAGCTTTTTGTCACGTCATCCTCCTTCTTCATAACATAAATGCAGACAATGCGTGGTTGCCTGGTAGGAGGAATAACAGAAAGCATCAATGCACTTTATGACTCTTGGCATGGAAGACAGATGAGATCTTACTGTGTTTTTAAGACAGACTGGATACTGACACTTGTAGTTGAGGAAAGGTTCCCAAGGTCAGAGCTGCTAAAATTGGACCTGTAAAGAGGAATGTCTGAGGAGAGTGGGAATAATACAAAGCAAATGTTCAGTACATTTGGATATGTGAAACAACTTTAATTCAACAAAAGTCAAGCACTTTGTTCTTGTGTTTGGAGGATATTTAAATGATGAAGTAGGTAATGGCTTTCAAACTGTTGTCTGAGTTGCAAAGGAAAAAAAAAAGATAGACAATAAATTCAAAGTTCACATATGTGTCACAGTACTGACGCACATATCGGGAGCTCTCTTGTGCTCTTATAGAAATGCTGGCCCCACAGTGCTGTCAGGAGTCAGGAAAAGCCCTCATGAACTAGAGTGACCAACACACCAGCTGCCTGCTCAAAGAGAAACCACACATGGACATTTTGGGGCAAGAGAAGCAAAAAAGCCCTTCATCAGTTTCTGCAGACAATAATTACATAGCTCAGTTTATCAGCTCAAACCTGGCTCATCTGCCTCGATGAAGGGCTGTAGAGTAATGATATGATTTTCAGCTGGTATGTAGAGGCCACTCGTCCCATATGGCTAATATCAGCATTAATAAGGAGGTCTGCTCAGGGCACTGAGATGTTCCATGAGAAAGAAAGCATACATGCTTTCCATCACACTGATGGAAAAGTGATTATTTGTCCAGCTTTATATGAAACTGACAGCTATTTCTATACAAGCAATGGAACTGTTTTATGAGAAACAGGGAAAACAAGATCAATGCCATCCTTCTGGTAGAGCTATCTGCCTAGGTTGGGCTGGTTTTTAATGAATACAATTATATATATATTAAAAATACATACACAATATATATAATATGTACAAAATATACATATTACAATATGTAATATACATATTACATATTCTGCTGTCTTTAAACAGATGACACTGCTGAGAGCTGAGGCTTTGCTCTCATGTGGGTTCTGGCTTTATCACTGCTCACACAGAATCATAGAATCACTAAGGTTGGAAGAGACCACTGAGATCATCTAGTCCAACCCTCAAACTATCCCCACCATGCCTTCTAAGCCATGTCTCTCAGTGCCACATCTCCATGTTTCTTGAACATCTCCAAGGATGGTGACTCCAAATTCCCTGAGAACAGACCTGCTGGGTTTCCTATTTCTGAGACAGCACACATTAGTAGGGAGACTTTGGAGGGATCTGCACAGATGATCTACATTCATTTAGTCACCGCTCCTTCTCCAGAGCCCAATTATCTCCTGATATCACCTCTTCCAATGTGTGTCCTGTACACCTGCATGGACTAACAACTACACAGAGCTCCTTAACCTTTCCAGTCTTCCAAAAGAAATATAACAGCTACCTCTATCATCTTCTCCATTTCCTCAGCTCTGTGATGATCGAGTGACTGTTCTGCATCTCCTGCCACTGCTCTGAGCCCAAGGACGGCAGCAGTCTAGACACATTAGCACTTCCAATGTTGAGCTCACAGACTGTATCAATTAGTGGGCTGATTTCTGCCCACATATCCCAGGAGGCAGCACGTATACTCTCCTAGACTGCAGCACTGATGAACTGAGACTGCTCACAGATGGCAGAGACTCCTCACCCAGGGGACCCTCTTCGCAGGACTACTTTCTCATTCTTATGTCTTTCCAAGACAATGTTTATTATAGAATCAATATGGTCTTGATGGGACTCCTGATGCAGCTTACAATTTTCTTCTAAGAAGGGTCAAGCTGATTCTCTCCGCATGGAAGAGCACATTCTCAGCCCTAAAGCAATGTTCTTGTGCCTGCAGTATCATCCCACTCATAGACCAGCCACTAGGAGATTCTACGTCTGCATCTTTTCCTCCTGAAACAACTGAAGAAGATGAATCTCCATAACCCCACCGCCTCCACACCCAGCAGCACAGGAGCACAGCTCTGGCTGAGGCAGCTTGCATGACTCCGAGCTTTCCATGCAAATGCAGCAACCTTTGTTAGGAATAAAACCTATCATTTTGGTACCAAAATAAAATCAGCACTGGGCTAGGTTGAACTGGCCTAATGCCATCAGACACGCTGTGTAGTGTAGCTCTCCTCTCCCATCTCTTTTCTTTGTCATTTAGCTCAACCTGCTGCAAACCTTCAGGCCCATCTATTCCCAGGTATGAATAAAATAGCCTGAGTTGTATTTTGTCTTCTTTTCCTGACAAATACCCCATTTTGAACTTTCCAGCCAGTTATTTCAAGCTGTGGTGGCATTTATCAAACTAACAATATCTGGTTATCTGGTGGTTAATCAATGTTATATGGTAAAAAATAGAATCCCACAGTTAATAGTGCACTGTACAATATCTGTGCTCCTGTGCCAGTCTGGACATAATACAAATTACTTCCTTCTCTCTCTCACTTTGCTTTCTCTCTGGAGGAGAATTTGGTATAACAATTATTGGAACTCTGTAGCAGTTCAAGGATAAGACAGCTTAGCTGTTGGCTTTTCTGCATTACTCGCCTAAGGTTATTATGGCCATGGATGCCAGTGATAGCCTGGAGTCTCTGTTCTGCCAAGACTTTTCATGCAACATGTTTGTGCTAACGTTACAACCCCTAGGGTAAAGTCCTGGAGTAGAGATTGCAAATCTAAATGAAACCACAGCTACCTGTGGGTTGGAAGACATCAAATCAGCTGTACTGGTAGAGCGAATGTTCATCACTTCAGCCTGCTCTATTCCGTAAGAAAAGGAAAAGAAATCATGGCCCCTTTTCTCTAACCAATACTCTGGTCAGGAAAGCATTTATCTTACATCTACCTTCAGTGCTCACTGTTGGATTTTATGATTGTGCCTCTTCAGTCATATAAGAGCAATAGGAACCATTCAATGACCAAAGATTGTCTTCACATCCCTGTCAGGGCTCTCAGCTCTGAGCCCATTGCTGAAATACCGATTTAACCCTTTTAGTGCGCTGTCAAGAAATATTGTTTGATACGAGAGCTCCCAGATTTCTCCCTCCATTTTCCAGTAAAGGCACCATTGACCAACCACAGAGATAAGAAAGATGTTAGTATTGACTAAATCCAAGAGCAGGATCCCAAATAAGCAGACATAGAATGTCTCAGCTATTTTTGAATGAATATTTTGGTATAAGAGATGCTCATACTGGCAATATGACTCACAAAAGCTCATCCAGTCTCTTGTTCCTTCTTTCTTGTTATGCTAGTGTCTTGAAAACAAGGCAGCATGATGCCTGTTCCTCTATGGTGACATCTTTCTCCCTGCTTGGGGTCCCCTAGAGGGACACCTTCCACCTGCTCACTCAAGTCAAACCAGATCCCTTGTTGCTGTCACCTGGAGAGGTTCAGGTGGTGATGGGGTGAAGTGCCTGCTGACAGCCAACAGAGAAAGCCACTCCACTCCAGCACATGTTCAAAGCCAGACAAATCCCTCCTGTTCACTCTTTGTAATGGAAAAGCCTTTGGTGAGGTGGGATAGCAGCTGCAGGATGTGCCATGCTAAAACACATGGGTAGAGGAACAGGGCAGGCAGCATCCACACCCAGACCCTATCCAGACTCCAACCTAGCAAGTCCAAGGAAGAAGCAGAAGAGAAGAGAAGCAGGCTCCTGCAGACAGCTATAGGAGGAGCTCTGTTTCCCTGTCTGACATCCTTGCTTCCCCAGTCATGCGGTTTGCATTTGTTTCTTTTTTCATGTGGAAACACTGCTTTCAAAGTCATCAGCAGGGATGAGCGGAGCGGCCATGCAGTCGTTGCTAACACGCTGTTCCCACCTGCAACTCAGCAGCTTTTGACAAAGTGGGAAATCCTGAGGGGACTCACGTGGTACTGGCAGGTTTGTTTTCCTCCTGCACGCAGAGACTCTCTGTATCAGCAGGTGAAGGTGTCAAGGAAGAGGAAGCAAGAGAAAGAGCTGGAAAAAGACGCAAGTTAATTAGGAGGCAGCATCAGTTCCTGTGATATTTAATATCAGTATTTTTTTTTTAGTAGAGAGCACTCTAGCTCCTTTGGGGAAATGTGCTACTAGCTTTGGACCAAACGCACCAAAATCAGACACCAGCAGAGCCTTCTGGAGCAACATAAAATCAACCCTGTTGAGGAACAGGCCCCTTGCATAGGGCACAGCCCCATGGCTGTCCCAGTACATCCCTCCTGAAGCTCAGCCCTGGCACTGACAGACAACCTCAGATTCATCAGATTTATTATTTCCTGTAAGATTCTTTGGATTTATTCAGATCTTCATTAGGATGTGTCACAGATCAGCCATGAGATAAGAACAGAACAAAACGATAGAAACAAGGACAAAGCTTTCCTGCTGATGAGTCCAAATCCGCACTAATGACATCTAAGCAGATAAGTAAGAATCAGAGCAAGGCACATAACTCAGGGTATATCTGCATTGCACTGCAGTCAGGAGTAGAGATTGGAGCGGCTGGGTGGAAACTCCCACTGGCCTTCCTCCAGCTAAGTTGAAGAAGCAGGTTTGTTAATGCCCTGAGTACCTCCAGGACAACACAGACTTCAGCAGCAATTACACATTGCAATCCATTCTGTTCTTTCACTCCTGCTAAGCTCCTGACCTAAAACTCACATGAAGAGGTTAACATACACTGCAACTACTCCTCTAAGTGCAGGATCTCCTAATAACTATGGCTAACTTCAAATGATCCATATCTCGAAAGTACATCACAAACTCTCATCTTAGCACTCAGGCTGTCCATTAATTGCCTACTTTGAGGCTGCTGGATTCAGTTGGATTGGTTTTGAAAGATACGTTTAATGTGATTAGCTGCAAAGGATTTGTTTTCAGCCAAAGCAGCATCCTGGCACACTTGCCTGCCCCACTGAATGCTAGTGCTGGCAGAAAGCAAGATACTGCTTGAAAGAGGGGAATACAAACCATTCCTTTCTGTATCAATGTGGATTTAGAGAGGCTTAAACAGATGGAAAAATTATAGCCAAGGACACTGGAATGGGAGCCCAGGTCTGGATCCACTTCTATCCAAGTTCTGAACTGCCTGCATGATCTTGTACATCTGTTTCCAGTTCTCTCCCTCTGCAAAACAGCCTCTCAGGATTGTCAGTGTGATGCAGTAAAAGGGATGAGCAGAGCAAGTAAGGGAAGAGAGGAAGAAGGAAAGAGAAGAGTGAGAAGATTGTGTGGCTAAAGGGCTTTCACTGCAAAGAGCGGTCTTACAAACTAAGCTGAAAAGAATATGTTAAGTTTTGAAACTATTGCATGAAGTGAAGTTATCTCGCTATAGAGATCATTTCAAAACTACAATAAAGACATTAACATTATCCCTCATTATTCTGGACAGTTTTCTTAGAAAAAAATATTAGCATTGACTCTGCGATTTCCAGTGTATTTCTGGGCTTCCAAGAGTAAGCAGGGACTGTGATTAAGAAACCAGTAAACCCACTGCTTGATGCTAATTGCACCTATACTGTCAAGGTCCTCTACATTCCACTTGTCCACTCTTCTTCATTCCAACTTCCATATTGAAGATCTCTCCGTTTTCTTCTCCTCATCAGGTCAGAAGAGAAGCAGCATTTACACGGATTTCTACCTACTGGTGAATATCAGTGTTATGTCTGTGACACTTTGTCAAGCCTGGGAGAAGAAAAGTCTTTCCTGTTCAGGTCATACTTTGACTCCTTGAAGATCTTTGTTGCCTGCACCATAGCATAGTCTCTGATTCAAAGTTCTCCTTGCTCAGTCAGCAACAAAACTGTTCATAGAGATGGCAGAATTGTAGATAATCTCATGGGCACCCATTAATTCCCTGCTTGCACTTCTAATAGCCTAAGGAATATTTTCTCCTCTTCATTTTCCACCTCCCTGCTTCAGCTGCTGGACTGAGAGGACAAACTGAAAGCTCCCACAACACAGCGGTGGGCAGCCCTCTCTGCCTACTTGCTCCCTCCCTGTCATCCCTGGAGATGAACATTGCATGGAATCCTCAGTCTTTAGCAAGACCTTGCCAAGGAGATTTCCCATGGAGAATCAACAAATGTAGCTGTCACTTTCTTGCAGCATCTGCAGTGAGAGCTTCTGTTGAGAAGGGATATTTTTAGCCTGGTAGTGCTCAGCTAACTGGGCAGAGGCTGCCCACGGTGCTTGAGGATATAAAAGGAAAGTGGAGGTCTCAGAGGTCCCAGTATTGTCTATTTTGGGAACTCTGCTGGTGATATTCTTTGCAAGGAAGGTTGTTCCCTCCTTATGAGGGAGTGTCACATGTCAATCAAAATTGCAAAATTCACACTTTGTCTCTGGAGAATGTATCCTGAGCCATTCTATTGGGTAAACATTAAAGAACTTATGGTTCCCTAGGGAAAAGGGAGAGACCAGAGCTGCCATGAGATGCTATGATATGCATTATATCAAGTGTGCCTGCCATGCACAACTGTGTTATAGAGCCAGTCTGTGAGTACCTCCTTGCCTTTTGCTGCCTATTATTAACTTGAAGGAGAAATGCTGTAAATGGTGAAGGGAGTCAGGGACAGCTATTGCAACAATCGTTAGCTGGAAATTAATCATGGACACCATCCAGAGATGTTCAGGATAAGAGGCATTTCATGTTCAGAAGACAAATCCTTAAAGTGAAGAAGCTGGTATTGTTAAAAAAACACAATAAATTAGAAGGATAGGATAAAACACGGTAAGAAAAGAGTTTTCAGAAAGTTCTTTGTCACTTGATTAAGATAGGAGGAAAAGATTCCTAGTTACTATCAATGATCACGGAGCACTGAGACTGATGAGTCAAACTTGCACACTGACATTGGGCCTATGTAAAAGCTTCCAGCCAAAATCTACTTTGCCCCTGGCTCAGGGCTTCTTGGTGATGGTGCAGGATGTGGCCCAGCTCTCACTCACTCAGACAGAGCCCTGACCAAGTCTGAGATGACATTTCTCCCTTTTGCTGAGCTAATTTGAAGGCCCAGCATTTCCTGGCCCTGGGTCTGAGCATGGCTGCACAGAGTGCAGACAGCACAGGGCAGGAGGGGGGGAAGAGCCAGCACAGGCTGTGCCTGTTTAAACCACCGTGTTGCCAGATGTGCAGTTCCAACTTGACTTCATGCACCATACAGCCCCTAGCAGTGTCCCTATTAACTTCTTCTATACGCTCAATAATCTACAGTTAAACAGCAGTACATCTGTAAGAAACACATGCAGACTTGAGTTGGAGTTCTGATTGAATTCAGGGCAATCACTTGCAGAGCAAGGACCACGCACATGGGACAAAACCTTGCCCTGCTCTGCCCTGTGCAATTCTAACCAAGTTACCTTTGGCCGCTGTGGCATGGAAAAATTCCTGTGAAATAGGATAATATTGTATCCTTCGAATAGAAGAAAGCTTGACCACAGTTGCACCGCCTGGATCATGCATTCCTGCTCGTGGGAGCCTATGTAGAAATTACTGTATACAAACACTTCCAATAACTGCTTTTGTAGATTCAGTAAACAGAGCAGTTAAAAATTATACCCTGGGTGAGTATCCAACAGTGTAACCTTTTAAGGTTGGAAATGAGTTCTGGATTGCCTGAGTAAAAACGGCTTTTAACTAACAGGATGGAGTCTAATGAGAGATCAATGCCTATTGTGGGAGAATTATCCTCCTCTCCAGGAAGCTGAAGGAGATATTTGCCACTATAAGGAGTGCTGAGATGTGAGAAAGCAGCTGGGAAAATGGCAGAGATTTGATTTTTGGTCATCAGCAGAATGAGAGCAAAGCATGGTCACACTGCAGCCTGAGAGGAAAGTGCCACACCTATTCAACATCTGGATATTAACATTTAGCCATCCTGCAGAATCAATGCACAGAGCATACCAGCACGCAAGCTAACAAAATACAATGGAGCCCAAATAACAATCACTGCTTCATTATTCCCCTTTGGCCAGTTAGAGACATGAGGATGGAAAGCCCTGCACACCACAGAGCAGCCAGGGGAGAATGGGAGGAGAGGAAGGGGAGACCTGAGGACTTTAACCCACTGCAGAAGAGCAAGCTCCAGCTATATAAAGCTGGATGTTAGGCCCCATCTCCTAATCCATTCATTAAAGTAAAACAGGTGGGATTTGGGAAAATCCAAAGTGATCACAGGAACTTTGTATCTGAAAGAATTGAAGCCCTATAAGTGGAAAGTGTGTAAACGCAACATATCTTCTACCACTGTTGGGAAAGGATTCTGAGAAGAAACATCAGATTTGCCAGCTGGGGACGCAGCTGTAAATTACAATCATGGGCCAAATTGCAGAGTAGATCTGACATGCCAAAAAGATGCTACCAACTTAACTGGGCATTGGGTGAGATCACCAATTCCACTGAGGAGATATTGTAGACATTTTTTCAGGTGGTGAAATAGTTTCACCTTCCCAGGTATCTAGAAAGAACCATCCTTGTCACATCAGCGAACGAAAAGGAGAGATAACTGCAAAATAAATCACCTGAAATGAATTCACTGCTGCTGGAAGTAGAAGGTGGTTGACAGAGAAACATGCTCATCTCTTCAAAACTCCTGTAAGGTACTTCAGACAAACAGCCACTACAGCTTTTGCACTGGGCTGGGAGAAACTCTGAACACGGCGATCCATTCAGCCCATTGCAGTGATAGAAAAGCAAAAGATGAAAATTCCTCTACAGCTTGAGGCTTGTCTTCTCGCATCATCCTGGTTTATAGGCTCTCTAGAGGCAGCTAGGTTAATTGTCTTACCAATCAATTTTATGGACTCAAAAAGCTTGCTAATGCTTTAACCAGAAAATGATGTACTTCCAATGGCTTGGAACAGGGAGATGGACTCAGTGGCTTCTTAATGTCTCTTCAAGTTCTGTCTTTAGCAACCTCAGTTTGACCAGTAAGCATTATCTAGTCTTTGACCAAAACTTTTGAGGCTGCCAGTGGGTTCAGAGGATCAGGATACTTGCTGCCCTAGGAAGATATGCTACAAGGAAGCACTGCCTGATCCAAGATGTAACGAGAGCAGTGCTGTTTAACCAGTGGGAAAGGGAATTCGATCCAGACCTTCTCTCTTCACTTGGGTGGCAGGGGTTGAGTACTGGAGAAAACATTTTGCCTGTAAAATTCCTGCTGAGGATGCTGCATGGCTGTAAAGCATGGCAAGGCTTGTTAGCAGCTAATGCGCTTCTTGTGGGGTCATCTTTGTGCTTTGTGTTCTGATTATCTGCCTAAGTGCTTCCATGGCTCTCAGCAGCATTGGAGCCCAGCCATTTCTACCTGGGTGAGCGATAAGAGAATCCATCACTATTACCTGCATTACCTGCTTATGTACCCAGAGTAGTTCTGCTCTATGAAGTGTTGATAATGCTGCACTTGCCTCCCTAAGACATTTATTTCCTTCTCCCTGCATTAAGCGTATATTCGATTATGCTGGAAGAAAATCTCATTCTGAAACTGAAAACCCCCTCCATGCACAGCTCTTCTGCTGCTGACCTTCTTCAAAGTCACAAAGGCAGCCTGTGTCCTTTAGGAATTTCTCCTCATTTGGAATTAATAACTTTCTTCCCAGGATAGCCACATCTCTGTGCAACTCATCAAAAAATTCCTGAAAAAAAGCCTAGCCAGGTTTGAAGCCCTGCCCTAGGTTTGGGATTTAATATTTTCTTAGCTACTCAGACACAGGTAAGAAATGTTTTGTCTCACAGCTGAGCGTGCTTTGAGCAGGAGATTGGACTAGAAACCTCCTGAGGTCACCTCCAACTTGAATTATTCTCTAATTCCATGATTCTGTGCTTTTTATTTGAGACAAACTAAAGGGTGCATGGTCCTAAAAGGCAAAAAAGTCTTGCAGCTGCCTTCCATACCCCACATTACTGTGCTCTGTAAGATCAAACAGCTTGTCAAGGCATGGATGCACCGTGCCGACAGCTGATGTCTGGGGATGAAACACTTAATACCTGACCGAGGTGATCTCATCTGGGCTGAGCTGATGTACCTCAGAAATTAGCAACTGATACAGGAGGGACAAGGCATCAGTTTCACTCTTTCTAGGGCTCCCCCCTACACCAGGCATTGCTGTATGTCCAAGGCAGAGACTAAAATTACACATAGTTTCAGTGATAACTGGAAACCTCTTGCACCTTTCGTTCTACCTTTGCGCATTCACACACGCGTGCAGTTTATAGCAACATCTCTTACCTTGGGCTAACAACAAAAGAGAAACATCACATTTCTATCCTTTTCAGAGAAAGCTCACCATCCTATTTTGGATGTATGTGTATACTGTCAACTTCAACTTCAACTAAAGTCTTCAATATCACAATCAACATGGAAGAGCGTAGCAATTGGACAGATCAACATGGTAAGAAAGGTGTCACAACAGAGGTGCGACAACAGAAAGACCAGCACAATAAAAAGGTACTATAAAAGAAGGGAAGAAGATTGCTCACCCACATCAATAGATTCCAGGTTCACAGGGAAAAGCCTCACCAAGGAGGAATTGCCAGAAAAAGAACCTTCTGCAATGGTAGTCAGCCCTTAAATGAGGTCTAAGAGGTGCAGCCTGGCTCCACCCCTTCTGGTCACACAGGTAAACTGACTTCACCTGTGCTTCCAGGACTGACCAAGTCTTTTCCCCAGATGCTCAATCAGTGGTTCAGGCTATGACTCAACCGTTCTCACACAAAGAGGTTCTGATATCCTAGAGAGGTCCTGGCTGGGACTCCAGAATGAATTTGTGAGTTTTTCTCCAAACTGGACCTGAGTCACTTTATACTCCTATTACATCTCTTTTGCACAAGGATACTATTTTCCATGGAATTTTTCATCTGTGTTTTTTTTTTTTTTTTTTTTCTTTCCCCAGAGAATGGAGAAGCAGAAAAACATAATGCAATAAAATCATAATCTCACCTCCTGTAAACAACTTTGTAGATAAATGCAATTGGAGGTGTCCTGCGTATGAATACTGCCAGGCAGTCCTTTATAGATCTTAAGCTTGTATTGATCTCTGCATCCATAAAAGCTCTTGTTCGTCAGGCATAAGAGAACAGACTCAGTATGCATGACCACACATGCCAATGTCAATGGAGCTATAAAGCTACACCCTCAGAAAAATAAAATGTAAGTCAGATTTGAGTTCAAAAGAATGGAAATCTGTGACATTAGGAATTAAAAATCAAAGTCTTCTGACCCAGATTAACTTTCTTTGCTCAATCACCCGTACATAACATACTCTAAATCAGCTCCTGGAGATGTTCTTTTGCATGTTTTTCATGATTAATTGAATTAGGAATTGATTTGTATAATATGACTCACTTAGAAATAAAGACACAGCAACCTGACAACACATGTGCCACTCAGGAAGCAAAAAATCTCAGTTCCTACAGCTAATCTCTCCTCAGCCCTCTCAGGTGACATAGGTTTGCTGTTTACCACCAAGAAAATCAACTAGCACAGAAAGCATGTGCATGCTCCACGTTTGTGCATACAAAAAACATGCATGCACATGCACTGTAAATGCTGAAAAAGCGTAGGCACTGAAGATTCTTCCTGAGGTTGATCTATATACAGGTGCTTTGCTGAGCCCTGAGTTTAGCCCTATGCAGTGCAAGGATTGGAGCTGTGAATTGTAGAATCTGAGGATCATAGAATATTCTGAGCTGGAAGTGACCCACAAGGATCCAAGTCCAGCTCCTGGCTGCACACAGCACCACCCAAACCCTGTGTCTGACAGCGGTGTCCCAATGCTCCATGAACTCTGGGAGCTTTGGGCCATGCCCACTGCCCTGGGCAGCCTGTTCCATGCCCACCACCCTCTGGGGCAGAGTCTCATGAAGGAGATATTTCCCTATGTACTCTATCCCTGCAAGAGATACCATGATTTCAACCCACCAGGGCATAGCATTTCTTCACTGTGCTCTGAGCAATGTCTGCATGCATCGATCCCTTCCCTCAGCTGTGGCCCCACAATGCCACAAGCCCTTAGGAGGTGCTAAAAGCTTTCATGGGAGCTGAGGGAAGGAGCGTGGCTAACAGCAGTGAGGGAGAGCTGACCTTTACTCAGCCCAATTATTTTGATATTTAAAATGTGAAACCAGAAATAAGAGTTCATCTTTTCCTGTGCTGGAGATCATTATGCAGTGAGAAATGGGCAATAGTGTGAATTATTATAAACCGGCACCAGACCGAGACGGCTCTTTTTCTTTTCCCCATTCTTTTTCTTTCTCAAGAAGCATCCTCATTCGCAGAGCAAAGCAGCGGCTTTTCATGAGAAAATAACATTTTTATGCTTGTCGAAATTTCCTTTCATTTAAGCCAAGAAGCCACGACTGATGCCATGTCTCCTTTTCTCCAGGGCGTGAATCCCTCCCCAGCACCAGTTAAGTGGAGGGAAGAGTGAACTTTATCTTCCCTGTCAGCTTGCCTAGACACTACTGGTAATGGGAAGGGGCAAGATGACATTTTTCTGCTCCCTTCTACTGCACTGGTTTAACCCTACTGATCCCAACACTTGGATGAGTATTATTCAGTCCAGTCTAAGCTATGGCCATTTCCAGGGGCCAGGGGTCATTTCCCTGTACCCACTGCATAGCTGGAGAAATCAGTCCTGACTTGTTAAAAACAGCATCCCTGTGTGTAAGAAGAATGGGCCTTATTCCTGTTTTCCTCTGGAATATTTTCATGTCTTTGGAGTGGGATTGCAGTTTTTAAGAGGTTCATGAGCAGGCAGAGCCTCACTGACTTAAGGACCGCAGGATTTGGCTCACTGGTCATCAATCTGCATAAGCATGCAGCAGCTATGTAGTCATTACCATAGTAATTCCCCCCTTTCAGGATTTCTCTGCTATGCATACACATGCTGAGGAAAGAGAATCATTTTGTTCTCTGCAACTGCATCATGACATTAAGGCAGTGTTCCTGCTGGCCTCCACTCTTGCCTGAATAGGGCTGCTCAGCAAACTTGTGTAGTGCCTTGTTTTGTTCGAAAGTGCTGATCCCTAGAAATGAAAACTGGCTTTCTGGGAAATGGTCAGTTTTGATGCTTTTTCAAACTTTTATATTCTCTCCTCCTTTTTTTTTTCCCCCTATAGAGAAAGGGGGTTTGAATTAGCTGCAACTTACTGAAAACAAAAAATCCTGCTTGCTTTTTCTGCCCAGAAAATTAATTACACTAGTGAGAGCGAGATTCTTTCAAACTAGGGATGCTTTGAATCAAAGGGAAGTATTTCTGAGACTCGGACTGCCTTTTTCAGATTTTCATTTCTCAATGTGTTTAGCTTTTGATGTTTTTACCCTCTTTAAGTAGGGATTTTTTTTTTAATCTTAAAAAAAATATATTTGCAGGATGGGAAAATAATCTCCTGCTCGGCAAGACCTCAGTGGATGTTTCAGTGCACATGACAAATGTTACAAAGCAAGTCAGTGTTCTCATCTGCTCCTGGGGGACCTGGTACAGCTTCTTATTGTTTTCATCTCTTTGAAAGACAAGTCATTTAGTCTAAAAAAATACATTCTGCTCTTTCAGATAAAGGAGCTAAAAAAAAAACAAAAAAAAAAAACAGGTTTGAGTCATCTCTCAGTATTATTTTAATTTTTGGTCTGTTGAACAAGGAGTGGGGTTTAAATCAAGCGCTATGATCTGGTGCCAGCTGCTGTTACAGGGCTGCAAAGGCTGTGTTATAACATTCACCAGACACTGGTTCTGCTGTTACAGCCTTTGCAGGTATAGTCTGGGTAGAAAAAACACTGATTTAGGACTGATCTCACTGAAAGAAGGGGTAAAATGCAACCTTCGTAGCATTGAGCAACCAGGTCTAGTGGAAGGGGTCCCTGCTCCTGGCACGGGGTTGGACTACATGATCTGTAAGTCTCCTCCAACCCAAACCATTCTGTGATTCTGTGATCTTCAAGCCAAAGTCTCACAGAATGTCGATAACTGATACTTGCTAACTCTGACCCAAATTCACTTCCCATGTGCATGACTCAGTCAATAACAGCACAGCGTTAGATCTGCTTGCAGACAACTTTGGGGATAATAAACCTGAATTTCTCTACTCATGATTGTGTGGAATGAGGAGAAAGGAGATTGAAAGAAACAGCAGCAAATGTTATGATTTTGGGTAAAGTTCAAGTCCATCTGAAACTTCCTTACATTTCTCAAACTGAGAAATCCTGCAGCACTCCCTGCCAAGCTTTTACTTGCGGTCTCCCCATACCCTCTGAGCACTCAGAGCCCTCACTCTAGGAGGTTCAGATCTGGTCAAAATTCCAGACAAAAATACTCCTGCTCACATCTTTGCTATAGGCTACAGAAACAGCAGGTGAAAACATCGCTGTGCTGCAAAGATCTTCCTAGCAGCTGGCAGGCAGCTCACAGGGAGATTAACTCTTCAGAGCTTGCCACTGAGTTCATTTTCCTCAGATGTTTTACACTGTCAGTATGAGGGCAGTATGAGGTGAAGGCTGAGAAAATAGTGTTGGTTGGGTTTTTTGAATAGGCACAGTGTATTTAGGAGACTGAAGGATGTTTATACAGTCAGGATGCAGAAAATACCCTAAGATATTCATCTGGGCATAGATTGCTTTACAAAAATCTTCCTGCCCTATCCTGACTTGAGCCAGATGTGTAAGGTTTAGCAGAGCTACCAGGGTACTTCTCCCAGGTAACTAGTGGAAGAACAAGAGGGAACAGCCTCAAGTTGCACCAGAGGAGGTTTAGGTTGCCTATCAAGAATAATTTATCCTCAGAAAGAGTGGTGAGAGCGGTGATGCATTGGCATAGGCTGCCCAAGGAGGTGGTGGGGTCACCGACCCTGGAGACATTTATGGAAAGAGTAGATGTAGTGCTTAGGGACATGGTTTTATGAGCATTATTGGTGGTAGGTGGGCAGTTGGACTATATCATCTCAGAAGTCTTTTCCAACTATTATCATTCTATGATTCTGTAGCAAAAAAGTAGCAGACTTGGAACTGCATGGGAAAACCAGACTTGCTCTTCTTGACAGACTGTACAAAGAGAGGAAGAGGAGCATGAGCAGGGAAGGTGCTAGAAAATGCTCCCATACTGCCAGGAAATGTCCCTACTGCTTTGATGATCTGCCTAGTCTACATTCTCAGGGATTTTTTTGTGTTTTGTGTTAACCCTTTGTAATAGCAGCAAGACCACAGGAACAACATGGGATCAGTCCTGCTTAAGTTAGATGGCAACCTGCTGCGAGTATCAGCCCAAAGTGCACAAATCCTACCTTTCCAGTCTTCCTCTTCTTGAACAGTGAACCCAGTTTTGGAAACTGTATTTCATCTCTTTGAAAGTAGGTTTTTGTCTGTCCAAACTGTAGAGTCTGTAACAGCAGCACTGTAATGAGACTCAGAGAGCTGCTCAGTCATTAGAGTCAAGAGAGAAGGTTATATTTAATTTGACCACTTAGCATAACGCCGAGCATTTTGCAAATACTATTAAAGTACCTTTCCTTTTTTTTTTATTCTTGCAGAGATTGTCTCCCAGCAGTCAGGAAGGAGATTAATGCACATTCAACG